TGTTATCCATGTCTGTCCTTCATGAAGGGAATCACCATAAGTCTTTCATCAAGCCCTTGGCTGCAAAGGGATGTGCTGCGTCTCCCAGGGCATCTCCTGCCTGTCTTAAGCACAGCGGGCATGAGTGTCATTTTATATTTGATATTTAGAATGTCATCAAAGAGCTGCAGATGGAGAAGGGTTTGCAGCCAACTATGGAGTAACTCTAGAAGAAACCCTTCCACCTGTTCCAGGCTGAGGTTAGGGAAGGACATACCCTGTGCATACACAACACAATCCCCACGTAGCCTTGCCAGCGTCATTGCCCACAGGCGTGTTTTTGTGGCAGGATGATACGAGTTGTGAGGCTGTGATAGGTCTGGATGTATAAAAGCAAGATACACCCTATGTTTAGTGTGAAGGGTGACGTTGTTTCCTAGAATGACTCAGTTTCTTATCTGATCTGGCTTGTGCTGAATTCAGTGCTCCATACAAACGTGGAGGTGATCGCTTGTTCAAAAGGTTATGATGATGGCTGTCACTCCTTGAAAAGTCCTTGGCATTGATTTATTGCAGTTCTGATTTCATAGTGCTGCCATGCAACATCTGGAGGGGAGCTAGAGATTTGGCAGAAAAGGGAAGGAGCGTTTTAAAGTTTAATTCTAGATACTGGTTTTACTGGGGGGCTTTTGTCCCTCCTGAGGTTCTGCTGTGCAAACTCAGAGCAGAGATAAACCACAAGAAGATTTTTATGTAGACTGTGTGGAGAATCAATGTTTTCTCTGAGGGTCTGAACTTGCATTTCTGATGTGAAGTGTTGAATCTCCAAGCCTGAGCCTGGGCCTGTCTCACAGGCACATTTGGAATAATAAGCCCTTGGTTAATAAGAGTAATATTTGGGTAAAGGCCCTGTGTAATGACCATGGGTAATGTGTGATCACCGTTGTGTTTGCCCACGCTGCCTTGCGCAAACCAAGATGCACACAGAGGACTCACCCGTTCTTTTCCCTGCAGGATTGCTTTGGACATGCCAGTGTGGGGTTCAGTACCCTGCCCCAGGCTAAAATGTTCTCTCCTTAATTTGTGATATGACCAAAGTCGTCTCCATGCTCCCACTTTCTCCCTACACATTTTAATGTTGTCTTTTCTGTGTAAGAAGGAATGTGGATGATGACAGAGGTGTTTTCTTACTGTGTAGGGAGGACCCAGTGTAGCTGCAATCAGACTTCTCTGAAAATGGAAACTAAAAAATAATCACTATGTTCTTTTTTTGGCCCAAATTGGAAGCATCCAGGTCACACTGAAAAAGAGGAAGCAGCTCTGCTTGCTCCTCTCAGAGACCTCACTGCAGTGAGATGCAGTGATTCAGTGAGCATAGGCCTGAGGGGCTCATGCCCCCATCCCTGCTGCTCCACCCCATCCCCTGTGCTTGCCACTTCACATGGGACTTGGCTTTATAGTTCCCTGTCAAGAGACTTGGGCAAACACCTCGAAAGTCAGATGTCCTTACTCTATTTAAGCACCAAACTTAATCTGATGTATTTATATCTCTAACAGTTTGGAGGTGTGGCAGGTGGTTTATTTTCCCAACATGATCCCTGGTGTTTTTCCCACAGGGTGTCTCTCTATGATTGCTTTCGTTACCTAGTGGTTGTTATTGTTAAGATTCCATCATCTGACCCTTTATAATCCCCATATTGCATTACAGAGCATTGCTGGACATGCTTGGTGTATGCTACTGTTTGCCAATTTTAGACTGCCCCATCAAACCTGTGCGTTTCTCAAAAGGGATTGAAGGTTATGTTACATAGGCACATTCTCCAGCTCCTTCCAGTTAATGCCTTGGCACTTGGAAATGACATGGATTGGTAATAGAGGGGAATAAATGTATGGGTTTTATAAGCAGAAAAATTAAAGCCAACGTTATAGAAATGGCTCTCAAGCATTTGGCATCAACATGTGTCCCATGAGTTAGCTTAAAAATACAACACGTTTTAGGCGCTTGAAGCATAACTTGGTGGCCTGCTTCATGTCACATGGTGACACAGGAGTCAACCTCTCTTGATATTTGAGTTAAAAACTTGTCAATCCTTTTGCTTTTGAGAGAAATAGGTGAAGTTTTGAAGAAAATGCATGAATGAGAGAAATCAAAGAGGTGAAACAATCCTGTACAAGAGCCTGCTGGGTTTCATGCAAGACTTCATCTGTACCTGCTTTAGAAACAGTAAGCAGTGAGTGTGAACTGTTCATTCCCAAGGGCAGACCTTTTCTTCTGTCAGTTTGCTCCTAAAGTGTTTTTACTTAACACTTGTTAGGTTCCGACTTAGCATGGTTTTTCAGCTGCTACCTGTACAAATCTCTTTGTGATTGCTGTGCAGGTACCTCTTGTCATCTGCTTACAGTTTGAGCATGGCTGCTGGCACAGCTCTCTGCTGTTTGATAATAGAGCACCTCACGCAGTAGTTTATTAGTCCAGATATTCCTGAGCAAGTGTCAAATTGGTGTGAAAATAGCAAGTGCTACTGATGGAAGTGGCTTTCCTGTCTTAATGAAGGTTGAGGAATGAGTGATTGTTTTGGAAAGCTCCAGTGGGAATACCTGCAAAAGTTATTCGGAAGAAGATGGGAGTTTTGCTTTGGAGAAGACTTCTACATTTGGCTGTGGGTGTGCCCCCAGCCTGGATGGTGTTGTTTGTTGCTGTAACGTGCCATTTCCAGTGTGCCAAAACACTAAGCAACATGTTAGAAAAGGAAGTGAATCCTGAACCCGAGGTAATTTATAGAGGAGAGACCTAAAGTAGGCAGAATGTGATACCTACCTTGGAAATCTGTGGGATTAGCACCTTTGTCACCAGGAGAGGTGCCACCAGGCAACCCTTCAGCTTTGCATCTGACGGAGTAGGCATTGCTCCAGCAGTATAGTATTTCCTAATCATGGTATTGACAAGTGATATATTCCTAGTTAGAAGAAAACCTGCTTTTCAAATACCTGATGGTGTTCTCAGTATCCCTGTTTTCCTTCCCAAGAGGGCTTTCATGGGTTTGACCCCACTTCACTTAGCAGATCTGACAAGACCATGGCCCAAGATGGCCTGGGTGAAGATCATGGAAACACAAGAAGGTGGCCAGGGGCTTTATTTTCAGTCAAGAAATCAGCAAGCGATAAGTAACCACTGAATAGCCAGCTTCTGTGATCCAAACAGCATCGCTTGGGAGAATAACATACCAGCTACTGAAGAGCACTGATTTATTTGATAACATCAGGAAACCATTTATGGTGTCTATTATGGACTGCAATCACTGGGGGTTAAAACTGGTAGACTAGATTGATGTGTGGGTCTGCTGTTGTGCTTGCTACTGCATAATATAAAATAAGGATGTCCCCTGAAGTACCAAAGGGGCAAATGGAGCCAGCACATTCTTGGCTTCGGTTTTTGTTATTTTTTTTCTTCACCATGTACTTCATTCTTAATGTTTTGCTGTCTTCCCTGCTGTGTGACAGCATTAATTAAATGAGGACCTTTGGATAATGGCTTTTTAATAGAGGTTAACAGGGCTTTGAACACCATGTTTCTTGTTACAAAACACAGCAGAGAGAGACCATCGTCATGCAGAGACTATTTTGCTGCTGGCAGACACCAGCAGAGTGTGGTTGAGACTGTAATGAGAAATATGGCTTAAAAATTGGTGAAGCTTGGTCTCACAGCCTCTCCTCGGTGGTTTCTTTCCTGTGAAAGATGCATTTGATTTGATACCCACTGCAAGAATACTTGAACTTATAAGAGGAAATCTTCCCGATGCAATGAGCAGTCCAAGCTGTGGTGTACTGAAACTCCACTGCGGTGGAAAAATTACCTGTCCCTGCTACTCTGCTTTTACAAAGCAGCCATGAGCTACTCTGCTTTTACAAAGCAGCCATGAGCACAGTGGAGATTTGGCTTTCTGGATTGATGTATAGATTTAGAAGCCAATAAAATACTCTGAACGAAAAAGGACATACTTCTTGGGTGGAATGGATACTTAACGAAGAAATGGCTTTCAGGTCACCTATAGTTACATCAGTTCTACAAATATCAACAAAGTAAATCTTTGTAGTTGCTTATTGATTCTGTAAAACGATGATAAAAAGTAGGAAAAGGATGAACCTGAGATGAACTGTCAGCCAAGATCTGTTGACAGTGCAAATAATGTCCATGACAGAGACAGAGCAGCCAGGAAACAGGGTACTGGCATTGCCTCTGGGCAGACTGGATGGGAGCAGGACACGGATGTGCTGTAGGAAATCCATGGGGAAATGCTGCCTAGGGTCGCCCAGGTTGGTTCAGAAGGCTGGTTTCCATCCCCACATGGGCCCCTGTCCTGAAGTACAAGGTGTGTGTGTTATACTGACTGTTCAGCTCCCTTTTTCCACCTTGGAGGGTTTTACCTTAACCAGGACCTGGCATTGGAGCATCATACCAAAACTATCGGCAGTATTCAGCCAGGGCTAGACCTGCCTAAAGGCAGTGAAGAGCCTGCAGTCCCTTTTGAGATGTGTGAGACATGACGGACACAAAGACCTTTTGCTGATTCTTCCCATGGTTCAGGATTTCAGCTGCACATCTCATAGGTACCATTAACGTCGCTCCACCCTTCTACAGCAATCCAAGTGCAGGATGAGGCACTCAAAGGTGCAGTGCCCCAGGAATCCTCTAGAAAATGGCCATCCCCTGCCTTACTCAATGGGGGACTCACCAGCTGCACTGAAATGTCAGAAGTGTTTGCACAGCTGACAGGTTGCTGAAAATGGAGCATTGCCATAAATTCCCTTCATCCAGCCAAGTGCAGCTTAATATAGACTTAGCTGCACGGTCTGTCTCCCACACAGAGACTGAGAGCTGCCACAGCTCATGACCAAAGCATGAAGTTGTTGATTTAACCAAATGAACTACTGCTAGTGAGGGGGAAAAAGAAAAATATCCTTTAAAATCGATCTTTCTCTTCAGGTTTAACAAGTAATAGAGAAAGGAGGGAAGAACGAACATGTCTGCACTCAGGCAAAACTCTGATGATGAAGAAGTGTGTACTGAGGACCTAGATGAAGATGAAATCCTGGCAAACCTGTCCCCCGAGGAGCTAAAGGAGCTGCAGTGTGAGATGGAAGTCATGGCCCCAGACCCTGAAGTCCCAATTGGGATGATACAGAGGGATCAGACGGAGAAACCCCCAACGGGGAGCTTCGACCACAGGTCCCTGGTTGACTACCTGTACTGGCAGAAGGCATCCAGACGCATGCTTGAGGATGAGAGAGTTCCTGTCACCCTCTTGCCCTCTGAGGTAACAAACAAAAATCACTAACATTTATTATGCATTTGCTGTGGGATCTGATTTATAGTTTTAATACCTTAACCTGCCTCTGCTTCCATCCCTTATGTAAGGTACAGTACAAATTGAAATTAATCCTAAAAGCCTCAAACCTGTCAGCATCCAGCTGGGGCTGACATCAGGGTTAGTAATTTTTTAATTGCTTTTCATGAGTGTTTACTTAAGCTTTTTAATATAAGGAAATCTTAATTCTGTTTCAGCAAAGCAAACCACTGCGAAATTGTCATAAAATCAAGTTTGGAGGATGCAACTGTGTGTACGGAGCAGCACCATGTTGCTTTTCCATAGAAGACTACATTAATCATATGTATTAAACTAATTAATTGACAGAATTTAATGTCCTAGTGGACAAAACCCCAGAACGCTGTATTTTAGCTCCATGAGTTAGTCCAACCCTTTTCAACACAGTGCTTAAATTTATTCTACTATCCCTATGACTTTGAAATAAAGTTCTAAGGTCACACTTAGATGTTTTTCAGGATGAGGGCCTCACTTAAAAATAGGTTTATAGGATGGAAGCTTGGCCAGATGAAACGTATCCATCCCTAAACCTAAGTGAATTTGAGGTAACCGATTCATTTTCTTTTTAAACACTACTAGTTTTGCTATTGCACAGCACATCATGGACTTCCCAGGCCAGGTTTCGTGGGCTGTCTTTGGACAAGACAGGAAATCTAAAGGTTTTTTCCCCTCCTGCAACACTCTTTTACCCTCGAAGAGACAATATTTTTAACACTTTTGGGGTAAAGTCTGGAATGAGAGTGTAGAGCTGCCTGCTGTGTTTGAGCTGGTTAAATGATCCCCATAATAAACCCATCCACTGCCACAGCAAGTAGGAACCACAGCCCTGAGGGCAGGAGTGACCTGTGACCTTTTTGCCTGACTTTTGGTGAAGCACAAGCCCTGCCTGAAGCAGTGCAAATCTCTTACAAGATATCTTGATCTGTATTAGTGCTTTATTGGCATTTCTCAGTGACAGAGGAGCCACTTGCAAAAAGATGCTTGAAAAGAAATCTCAGCTAGGAGGGTCTCTGGGGATGGGGGAAGTTTGCAACTGGTGTTATTTTGTTGCTGGAAGCCCCACTGCCTTACAGGAGCTGTGTGCGGGGTCCAGTTTCCTATCTCTGGACTCAAAACTTAGCTAATATTTTGCTTTCTCTGCAGTGATGTGCTTCCTTAGCTGTGATGCTCTGGCAGGTACTAGAGCAGGCAGCCTTGTTTTCTCATGTGGTGGATGACTTCACTGTCATTACAATGTGCTCTCTTTGCTCCTCCTGGGGCTGAGCAAACAGTCAGTGGTTAACACTGATTTCCAGTGGTTTGTGGCATATGACATAAACTTTCTCTTGACAAGGAAACAATAAAAATTACACAAAATCCAGAAAGACACTTTAGATGAGAGACTCTTACCCCCCAGAAGGGTTCAAGGACCATCTTAATATAGCATTAAATATGTGCAGGTTTTAATTGTCAGGATTTAATATTACAGGCAAAGATGAGAAAGTGGTTTGCAGCCACTTTAACAGCAATCATTCCTGCACTCCCAAGCAAGCCAGCACAGCCCTGAATTACAGGCAATGACACTTGAGGATTATTCCATAATGTATGGTCATAGAGGTATCTAAATCCAGCCACTACGTGTTTATTTGAGCAGAAGGTTAATGTAAAGAAGCTGTGTTCAATTATTTCAGCTGTGGGGTTTTGTATCCCTAGAGAAGTGGTGCGGAGGAGGTGGAAGAAAAGGACGGAGGCAGCGGCAGGAGGGTGCCAGGAGCAGAGGGAAAAGAGAGACATTACAAAAACGAGCACTTGTCCAACTCAGGAACACAATCTTGGGAGACAAAGAAGGATGGGAGTGATGAGGAGAGAAAAGAGGAGGAGGAGGATGAAGAAGAAGAGGAAGATGATGATGATGATGAAGACGAGGAGGAAGACGAAGATGAGACTGAACTAGAAACAAAGGAGACTTACACCAGTGAGAACCGTCACAGTAATCAGATAAGTAAGAAACCAGGTACAGAATCAGGAGAAGGCACAGAAAAGCCAAATGAAAAGAAGATATCAAAACTAAACATCCCCCAAAAGTTAGCACTGGATACGAGCTTCATGAAGATAAGTGCCAGGCCTTCAGGAAACCAAACCAATTTAGAAGAGAGTCTGGAGAAAGTCCGAAAAAATAACCCAGACATGAAAGAGCTCAACCTGAACAACATAGAAAACATCCCCAAAGAAATGCTGATAGACTTCGTCAATGCCATGAAAAAGAATAAGAACATAAAAACATTCAGCTTGGCCAACGTGGGGGCCGATGACAACGTGGCTTTTGCGCTGGCCAACATGCTGCGGGAGAACAGGAGCATCACCACGCTGAACATCGATTCCAATTTCATCTCTGGCAAAGGGATCGTTGCCATCATGAGATGCCTCCAGTACAATGAGACGCTGACGGAGCTCCGCTTTCACAACCAGCGGGGCATGCTGGGCCACCAGGCAGAAATGGAGATCGCCAGGCTGCTGAAAGCCAACGCCACCCTCCTTAAAATGGGGTATCACTTCGAACTGCCGGGGCCCAGGATGGTGGTGACCAACCTGCTCAGCAGAAACCTGGACAAGCAGAGGCAAAAGAGGCAAGAAGAGCAAAGGCAGCAGCAAATGAAAGAGCAGAAGGAGTTGATAGCGATGCTGGAAAATGGACTTGGGTTGCCTCCTGGCATGTGGGAGATGCTGGGGGGACCGCTGCCCCAGCTGAGGATGCATGAACCCCCGCAAGCCCCAAAACCATCTGACCCTATGGCTATGTCTCTGAGCAAAAGGCAGGAGAGCGCAAGGCAGCCGGCCCCCGAGCAGCCGAGCAGGGAGAAGCCTGTTGAATTCAGAGTGGTCAAGCTGAAGAAGATTCAGCGCAAACCCGCTGTGCCTGACTACGTGGAACCCACCGAGAAAACCAACCTCAAAGACGTCATCAAAACACTTAAGCCAGTCCCCAGGAGAAGGCCACCTCCCCTGGTCGAAATAACCCCAAGAGATCAGCTACTAAACGACATTCGTCAGAGCAACGTCGCTTATCTTAAACCGGTAAGTGCTTGGTGATGGTGGTGATGGAGGGAGTTGTGGTCACCTACTGTGCTCCAGAGCTGCTGTTTGACACGTTGGCCATTCAGTGGGGTGTGCAAATGTACCCATGCGCTGTGTGTCATCATCCTTCTGCATCAGGCTGCCATTCCTGGGTGCAGTTTCCCCTGGCAGCGCAAAGGTATGGCTTGCACAGAGAAATGACAGCAAGAGCTGAGGCTGCAGCCTTGCACGTCCCTCTTCGCATCCATGAAGGTAAAAGAAAGGACATTCACTCAGGAGGTAAATAGAACCACAGAAACTCACCGTTAGCATACTAATGATAGCCTATTAGTTATGATAGGCAAGTGCTACTGCAAGATGTTTGTTTCAAGAGAGCATCAGGTATTATTTTCCGTATTAGTCCATTCTCAGTCCCCCATAAACCCCATGTTTCTCTTTTCAGTAGCAGTATTTTTCTTTAGCCCTCACTTTACACACAGGAAACCACCATCACTTGTCCCATTTGATGAAGGGTGAACAGAAACACTGGCAGCTACATAATTTACCAGCGACCACTCTCCTTCCATACCGCTGCAAACCAGGCCAAGGCTGCGGGAAGTGGGAAGGGTCTGGTACAGTCATGGTCTGGGACTGCCTTCAGTTGGTCTGGTTTAAATGACATTAAAACTTTTCATGTAAGGGGGAGTTTCATATATTTTTAAAGTTATTTTCATTCTGTAGAGTTACGTTCTGTAACAGTGATAATACAAAAACCCTTGCTACAACAGTTTTCCACATGTTTGAGCCTTATATTTTAAGTTCTAACAATAGGATAAGTAAAAGATGCTTTTTCTCAGCTGCCTGAACATTTAACACATTTTTACAGATGCCTAAAAACATTTCAGGTAAAATAGTTGGTCCTCTAAAGTACTCTTTGCTGGCAAAAGGTACAAATTGTATCTGGAAAGGATCTGAAATCTAGTGTAGCGTAGCCACACAGCCTGCGGACTTGCTACCTCCTGCCTCACCCAGTAACAAGGAGTGTGTTATTTTAGTGACCCTCTGTTTAAATCAACTGCACAATTCTAGTGCTAATAGGAAAAAAGAAGTTAGATCCATTAGCAGAGAAGATGCAGCAAGGTTGTAAGAAGAAAGTACCACAGGATTTTTTTGTGTTTCTTTTCAAGCCAATCTTTGCCACTCAAAGTGCTCAGCAGTCATAACTCGAGCAAATGTGAGCTCAACATCATCATGGCTTTGAGAATCCAAGTCTCTAATTGTGATAACTGCCTTTTGGTGATGCTCCTACTTGGGTACCAAATACATTGGCCACCTCTCCAAATACTGATTGTAACTTTTGCTTTCCTTAAATGTTCTGTTTCCTACGGCAAAGCACTCGAACAGGTTGCCCAAAGAAGTGATAAATGCTCCACCCCTGGCAGTGTTCAAGGCCAGGCTGGATGAAGCCTTGGGTGACATGGTCTAATGTGAAGTGTCCCTGCCCATGGCAGGGGTTTGGAACTAGATGATCTTAAGGTCCTTTCCAACCCTAACTATTCTATGATTCTATGACATACTAAAAGCCAAGTGATGTATTTGTATCTAGTGGTTTTGATGCATCTGTTTGTGTTGCTAAGGCTACAGGAAGAGGACAGAAAGTTCTTTGCAATTAAAAATGGTCAGTAGTACATTGTAATTCATATTCTGTTTAATATTGACATTTTAATATAGTGGGCTATATTTTGCTTTCATCTATACCTACATAGAAATAACTATCCCCTCAGTGATTCCAGAGAGCATAGCTTGTCCTGAAATTTTGACAGGGGTAGGTGCTGCAGTGACCTCTGACTCTGGTCCATGTTTAATGTGACTATTCTTCTGCCAAGCCAAGTTTTGGGGTTGTGGTTTTACTGGTCAGTCCAACTCAGCTGCAGCCAGGGCCTCTCCTCAGGGTATTTCTGTCCTTTCTAGGCCAGTCTAGATTTTGCATTTCAGTCTTAGCCAACAAGACTTGCTCTTGTAAAGGTCATGGACTCATCAGGGACTGTAGCGATAGGACAAGGGGTGATGGGGAAAACAGGGGAAGTTTAGGTTAGATATAAGGAGGAAGTTCTTTACTGTGAGGCTGGTGAGGCACTGGACCGGGATGCCCAAAGAAGTGGTAAGTGCTCCATCTCTGGCAGTGTTCAAGGCCAGGCTGGACAGAGCCTTGGGCAACATGGTCTAGAATGAGGCACCCCTGCCCATGGCAAGGGGTTGGAACTAGATGATCTTATGATCCTTCCAACCCAAACCATTCTGTGATTCTGTGGTTTATCTGTGTGTGCCAAGACTGTGTGATGGCAGGTTGGTTCTTCATGGCCACAGGATCTGCTGCTTCCCCCCCCACAGGAAGATGGAGGATGACGGTGCTGGTGCTCTGCTGGGCACAGCCCTCATTTTATACAGCAATGATTAAGAAACCTGCCTGCTGCCATGTGCCAGGGAGCAATAGTGAACCCCAGCTGTGTCCCACTAAATCCTCAGGAGGTTTTTATGAATGAGGGCTGTGGGGTTTGGGGTGGAGGGATCAACTGATGGTCCGTCCCAAATGGGCCAGAGAACAACTGCTATCAGAAGCCAAGGAAAGATAAAGCGCAATGGACATGTATTTGGGGTTGGATTTTGTTTGGTCACTTGTGGGGTTTGTTTTCTTTCTGGTCCCCTGTCATTGTGCCACATGGCTTGGATTTGGGGCATTAGGGTATTATTCTCACCTGCCTGCATGATCTTGGTAACTCCTTATTTGCCTCGATATCCTCAGCTTCATCTCTAAAAAGGGGTTTTACTGCTTGAGCAAAGCTGGGTGTTTGTTCACTCTGTGGTGGGACACATCACTTGCAAACTGATTTACTGGGCATCAAGTGTTGCACATAGCAAGTGGGGAATTACAAACAAAAGAAATTCCCAAACAGAGCTCCTTGGAGCTCCTAGCTGTTATATTTTGATCTTTTTACAGTTTCTGGAGGTTTTTATTAAACTAATCTGGCTTGGGAAATAAGACTGATACATTTCCTCCTCCTAATATTTACTGTTGTCTTTGTCCAGGTGCCATTGCCAAAGCAGCTGGAGTGAGAGACCAGACTGCCCTGAAGAAAACAAACTGGAATACAGACTATTCAAGTTTTGCTTACAACTGTTTCAGCAGATGTTTTCTGCAGAACCCAGGTGGCATATATGACTCTTTGGGAACAAAGCTTGTGATACATACTTTTCTAAGCGTGCTGAAAACGGCTGGCATGGGAAAAGTCAGTGCTAAGCATTTCCATCAGGTATCAAACAATCCCAGTGCCATCTGTCTCATGTGGATTTGAGGCTCCAGTTTGTTGTGGGAGTATTTTCTCAGAGGCATCAATAACCTTGTCTTTCTAGATTGTCAGCGAACTGTTTTGCTTCCTCGTTGTCCTTCTGCTGCCAGATTCTGCAGGAATATGCTGTCTGCTTTATCTTATCTTTCTTTTCACACACATGCTCCTTTATTATTCCCTTGTCCATGAGAAATGTATTTGGTTTCCATGTATACAGCTCCATTTTTTAGGCTAAGGAAACAGGAATGAAATAAAGCTCTCTGTAAGATGTGTGCAGCACTTCCATGGCTAACAAGACACAGAACAGAACGACTGCTCTGGTACATCAAAAACCTCAAGCTACCTCTATTTCAGAACATAGTCTCGTTGGCATTGTACCTGATCAGCATGTAAAAGGTGATGCTGCGCTCTGCTTTGAGAGCTGTAATCTTCACTCTCCACGATTCACCTCTAGCCATGATATATTCCTTAATTACAGCTGCCTTGGAGCGCACTGAAATCCCACTTGAGGTCTCTCTCCACACCTTTCTCATGGCAGGAGGATGAGCCTCACCTCTCTTTGCCAGGGGTGCAAGAAACTCATCATTCCTCCTATGGAGTGTGAATAGCACATCTCACCCCTAACAGGGCTGGATGAATTGGGATTAAACCTTCATGTACACAACTTAGTTTTTTTCCTTAATGCTTTTGTGATTTGTTTTTCCTCCCCTTTTTTAATCACATTTCACCAGATTTTTTTTGCCACAAGCCTTATTTGTAAAGCAGCTACAGGTAAGTCACATCCACAAGAGATGAGATGTTTTGGGGTGGTTTAGTTTTTTTTTAAAGCTATAAGGCAGAGGGAAAGAACAAAGCCTTTCCCTTTGCTAACATGCAGCTCCCCTGCATTCCTGTGGCTGATACACTTGCTAAAAGGCACAGCTTTGAAGTCCTGGCAGGATTTCCTTCAGGTGAGTTTCTCCTAGCTCCTGCCTGTAACTCTCAGCAATCCCAGTCCCACCCTGCTTCCCCTTCCCAATTTGTTATACTAGTCCTGTAATACCAGCAATACCCAAGACCTCTTTGAATCCAAGGTAGTTCAGGTTTTCCTTTATCCTTGTCCTTTGTGCATCTATCACCTGGTCTCTTTCAAATCTCCATCTTCCCACTTTGTAAAGCTCTTTCTCAGCTCTGCTTCCATTTGCAACCGTAATGCTCCAGGCTTGGGAAACTGGCTGATGTATTGCCTAAGACATAGCTGGTGGTTTTTAAGTATCACCTAAGGGGAAGGAGAGAGCTATTTCTGCATGGCAGAGACATAGAAAAGGAAGTAACATTTTCACTGCACCCATTTCATACAGCCCTCTGGTTTTGTAAAGGATAAAAGTAGGAAGGGAAGGAATTTGGTACTTCTAACCAAGCCCTCACATGGAGCACAGCAGCAAATGACAAGTGCAAAAAGCAGCTCTGCCAGAAAGCACTTTGAGCATGCTTATCTCCATACTGGTTTCAAGGACAGGCTGAGACTCCAGCAGTTGGGAAAGGAAGTACAAAGGAAACTAGAACACAATCTCCAACTCAATCTGCCAGGTCCAGATGACTGCTACACCCAGAAGCAGCCAAAGCAGCCGTGCTGCAGAAGCTGACACGTATTACCAGGGTACAGACAGGAAGCCCTGCTCTGATCCATGTTCTCCCACTGAGCAGCTTCTTGAGTGATCACAGGAGGCGGGAGGCAGCCAGATAGAGAGATCACAGTGTTAGTCTGACTGCAGCAGTACTGCTCCAGGCACAGCTCCCAGTAATCCTAGAAGCAGAAATCCCTCTCAGGTAATTAAAAGCAATATAAAATCCCAGTTAAGTGAAGCAGAGTTGTGTAAGAGACTGAAACAGCACAAACAAATGCCTGAAGTACTCCACCTCTGTCAAGCAGCCTGCACAAGGATGCAAGAGCAAGGCCATAATCTTTCTGCAGCTCAGGGGTACCTCATGCCTCAACGGAGTTAATACAGATACAGAGCACTCAAAGCCAGCAGCTCAACCACAAGCACAGGCTTGCAGCACAAGCTGCAGGGTGACAGATCTCCCACCAGCACTCTATGGAGTTCCACCGACCACTGCAACAGAGACAAGCTCAAGCTTCCAACCACTTTTCCCAACCTGAAATAAACACACTCAGTAATCACCATTAGAATTTATTTTTCTTCATAACTGTGTAGTTTTTAAAATTCTACAGTAATGATGAAGTCAGGCTACTACGTTCTTGAAGTGTGGAAACAGTTTTCAAATAACAAAGACCATGCGCTACAAGTGAGGAACAGGCCATTGATTCTTCAGCTGGAATATACAGACATGTTCAATAAATACTGATCACTTTAACACTTAAATGGAATGACACGTTCAGATTTCCACACAGTTCACTATGAAAACAGTATGGTAAGTTACAGAAAAGCTTCAACTTTAAGGATCCTGGTTTTCTTTGTTAAATTAATGACTCTGATTGATAGAAAAGAGAAATGCGAGATCATTTGAAATGGCGTGTCACCTGGACAACTTTCCCTCCCCATTGTTGGTAAGTTCCTGTTATCAAGATAATTTCCAGAGCTGGCAGTTAAGTTAAAATATATAAAAGAATCCACCACCACCACTTTCAGTAGTTGTTACAGGTAAATATATTCATGAATTTGGAATGGGTTTTCAAAAACCATATCTTGACATTTATTGCTTTTACTTGTAAACCTGATATCCAGTTTATTCCTTTGAAGAGTGTCAGAAGTAGAGAGTCGGTGAGATTCATGTTTTACTTGTATCTTTGCATTCTGGTTAAGAAGAAAGAAAAAGATGACCCACACTCGAGAACACACATATACCTCCATCTACAGAACAGCCTCTACAGACTAAAGTAGAACAAGGTAAGTCCTAAAGTAGCAGTATTTCAAAACATCAATAGGGTAGAAACCCAGCTCATCCAACGAATCTGAAGCCTTTTTCCCTCCCATGCCTGGCCATAGTTTAGCTGGTATGTCAGGAGGTTTGGCTCTCCTGCAGAGAAGAGCAGCTTCTATAGATCCAGATTTCGGAGAGACGAGAGGTGTGTTTTACTGGAACTGACAGAGACACATGCCATATTCTTCATGCTTAGATCTATTCAGACTGTTTCCCGGCTGCTAAAGGAGGAATGTGAGCTGAGGGCAGGAACCCATTCTTGTTACAAGTACTGCACCGTTACACTACTAGTTCAGTGAGCAACGTGGTCTCAATACAGACCACTCAAGTGAGGGATTTGGAGGATGCAAAAGACCTACTTATGACACTCCAGCTCACTTTGAGCATCGCCAGCCTGAAGGTGGTACCCAGCAAAAACTGCCTAAACTGCCATCTTGTAGATCTGAGGTGGAAGGGGTGTTACTTTTAACAGACAAATTTGCTACAAGACAGTTGGAAAGACTGCATTCCATAGGTTTCCATCTCTTCCTCCTCTATCCCCCAGAAGAAGAGACAAGCAAATGCTTTTAAGTTAGTATGTATTTGTGTAAACACCAGAACATTTTGCTATACAATAGAAAAAGACTGCTGCTTCTATGTTCTTAGAGGAGCCCTGAAGACATTGGAATACCTGTATCCTGCAATTATTAATCTGTACCACGTGCATTTCCTGTTTTGTACACAAACTGAAAGCAAGCTTGAACAATAGTAAATAGCAACTACACTCCTGCAACAGGTAAAAATGCCACGTTGCAGCTGCTTACTCTTTTGCTTTAGATATGTAGTCAGCCAGTTTGTTGATACTATCCTCCTGCTGTTCTAGAGCATCCAGTATGATGCCCATCGGGGTCTTCTTCAAGCCTATTCCTTCCATCTTGTTCTCCAGCTTGTTCTTAATGTTCCGGAGCCTCAGAGAAGCATGGACAAACATCACTGCATGACAGAAACACTTATTAATTGTTAATGCCCAAGGAACGCATAGCTCTTGCAGCACTCCAGCACCGTGACAGCACTGGAAGAAGAGGAAGTCCCAGTGACCACTTAAACAATCACAGGTACCCATTTAATAATGACGTTAAAGATGGCTTGTGCTGTTTTGTGTCCCCTCCCCACCCAAGTTCGTTTTGAGGTCATTTAAATAGAGATAATGAAGGCAACAGCCAATTTAGACTCTGCGGACTTAACTGAGACAGCTCAAACCACATCCTCTTAGCCCCCCAGAGGAGAATAATACTTACAGAGGAGAGGAAGAGTGATCCCAAACATGAACACCATGACATCTCCCAGGTAGGAGATCAAGAAGTAGCTAGATAGCATGATGACCACTACAAATGAAGTTGGGTACTGCTTCTTCAGCTTGCGGAGGATATCCTTGTTGTGTGATACCCACACAAACCCCATGAACACCAGCACCACCACAGTACCACCAATAAGCATATTCAGGGGACTCAGAAATCTGGAGAGGAAAAAAAAAAGAAAATAGAAGAAAGCGTCCCATTTCAGAGCCTTCATGACTTGTGTCCATATAGCAAACATCTAGCTCACTGGTAACCTGTTACTAGGGCAGTAAGGCATTAAGAAATCAGTTGTTGCTGTCAAGACCTTTACCAGCCTGAGTTCTAGGCAGAAGCTAAACACAGCAACAAGTGCAACTGAACAAGCAACCCTTCGCAGTGAATTTAGATAATGTTTGTCTTTATGTTCTCATCCTGAGCATAGCTCAGGATAATGGGAGTTTCTGTAGCACCTCATCAATAGCAGCAATCATCACCAAGACCCCTTGTACCAGTGTAATCAACACATTCATTTGTTATCAGACCGAGCAAATCCCAAGAGCAGATGGAGCCAACAATCAGCTGCCCAAGCAACTGATCTCCCTACACATGACCAAAACCAGGCTCAGCCTAGCTCTTGAGATGAGTTAGTTTTTCATATTAAGTTGTCTGGGTTTGCACAATGGGAAATGTAGGGCAACATTAAGTAAAAAAGTTACTTTACCATTTCTTATTTCTGAATAAACCTTATCGGTTTACACTTAAACAAAATGATTTTGTGAACCTGCAGCAGGAGCTTACCACCATCAGCACAACAGACGTAGCCCTGCCACAAGCAAGCATGCCTTAGAGTCAGAAGGAACTGGAGTATGGGACAAAAGTGGAGCCAGGCATGGCAAGAGAGTCACTGCTGAGGTTTGTGTTCTATTATTGTTACCAAGCAAACCAAGCCACAGAGTAGATCAGTTTTGGACTATAAACAGCAAGTCCCTTTTTTGGGCCAGGGCAAGAACATCACCTGCTCAAACCACTTCCCAAGTATTCAGAGCTTGTTGAGAGTCAAGCTTTCAGCAATGACTTTGCTTAGTTTGTTTACATAGAGTCCAGGTTCTATTATATTTACTTATACAGTAATAAGTGATGTGATTTCATGTGCATTCTGATTTACTTGCTTATATGTGTACTGATTTAATTACACAGCAGCTGAGGGCTCTGAGCTGCTACAACTATGACAGTAGCATAACACTGACTTGCTAAAGCCAGATGTAGTCAAGATCTCCTCCTGCAGACTTTACTGTTCCAAAGCTAACAGGCACAATGAGTCACCACTCCACACCACTGCTGAGAAGGATCCTTTGGTCTGTGGTCTGTGCTTCATATCCGGCACAGGCAGAAGAAATCTGCTGCTAGACTGGTATGCCAACACCCTACCTGCAGCACCAGAGAGCATTCTCCTGGAGAAGGAAGAACCCCCAAGCATTATTTGAGAGGACAGACTGGCTCTTGATTCTTTACGTCAGTTGTGCCAACAGGAGACAGGACAACTGGATAGAAAGAGATTAAAATTCAGACTAGTTCCCCACCTGCTTCTGCTACTCATGCTGAAAAGCCAACAGGGCTTTTTGGAAGTGGTGATAGGGCAGACTTGCTTGTTGCATCTGAGTCACTCCCTGTCACCAGCCAGATTATATTTAGCTCTGAATTGTCAATCTAAATTTTCCAGGCTGGAAAAAGTGAACAGCATTGCTCTGGAAGGAAATCATTTTAATCCGTGCTCCTTTGCAGCAGGAGAAGGAGGGTGACTCATGACTGGACCACACTAGTGCCCGGCCTATATACGTACTACAGGACATATGAGATTCTTAAGTCAGAAGTCACCTCCACATCACTGCTATCTTGAAGCAGAAATGGCCAAACTTGCCCAGGCAACTCACAACAACCAATTTTTTTTCCCAAAAATTCATGTACAAGGTAACCTGGAAGCAACAAAGGGCTAGGCAGAGCTCCACTCCACATTCTCCCTGTGTCTGTTAAATACTCTCAAAGCTTTATTTTCCCTACTCTCATTACAACTTCAGAAACTGGTGGTGAAGAGTAATTCCTCTGTATTTATAAGGAAGAGACCAAAGACATCTCTTTTCTATGCTTCTTACTGGTATTACACAGGTTCTGCATAACTGACTGGGATATGAAGAAAACCAACCCAACGACCAACCAAAAACCCAGAATGCATTCAAAAGATCCCACTTTCCTGTGGAAAGTTATTTGAATTACATGTTTTCTGAAGTGGGCTGCATTCCAACGGCTACAAGGAAACAGTGAACATAAGTATCAGATGAAGTCATTCAGAGCCACACGAAAGCAGATGGGGATAGCAGTTGCCACTAAAAACTGGTATTCAAGTTACCAGCCATGTGTCCACAGACTTCAATACTGTTGATTACAGTACTGGATAGGGTGTCATATGCCAAGCTCCCCTTTGCTGCTTGACTCGCCCACAGCGTAATTCGCAGCACTAAGATTCTCATAGAAATTCATATATAGAAACTTCTTCAGCAATGGCATTTTTGGGGAAGGCAAACTTCCATTATCCAGTTTTGCTCAGATCTGTTGGCACAGTGCTCTCAATAACACAATAGCTGAAGACAAACAAGGAAAAATCATGGACACGTTGTTTTAGAATACCAGCATCTGGGGAAAAAGAGAGCTGTAGAGCAGCCCAGAATTCTCCTTACAGTTGAACCACCAACACCGCTATTGGCTTTATTTATGTAGAGATCAGAACACAACATGCCAAATTTATGCTCATGCAAGAAGGCTGGAAGGCTTTCAAAGTTGCAGAGACAAGGTAAGTGACCAGCCATTACGTATGTTACAGGATACTTTCTAAATATAATTCCCTTTAGCAGGGATTTGAGACCTTTCAAAACCCTAAAAACATAATGCAGGGCACTATTAGCATGGCAATGGTGTGGTAACTTGAGTTTACATTGCTCAGATGACTTAGGGGGAGCAAACATTTTTGGGGTTGGAGAAGAAAACCACTAGGTTTCATGATTCTGAAAGGAGTCAGCATGACAGGATTAAATAGCATTTTGGGTTCTAATAGCCCAGAGCACCCCAGCTGGATGATCTCCTTCATTGCCTTCTGTGTTAGGCTACAACACTGGTAGGATGCTACGACCTCCAGCACAGCTGGGACAAACTGGCAAGGAAAAGCTGTCGCCTAGATTGAGTTCCAGCAACACTGGAGGGCAACTTGCAATTGCACTCCTGCTGCCCTTCAGAGCTCAGGTTTCCTTCAGCATCTGCTTCGATACAAAGTAAAGAGATAAGGAAAATAAATAAAAGAAACATCCTGCCTGGCTGTAGGGACATGGGCATTATCCTGTGCCAAGTAGCACCACGGGATACTTTGTGTTTGGGAAGTAGGACCAGAAGACAGCAGAGATGTTGGCAGCTGGGTGCGCAGTTGAGTGGGAAGAAGTACTGGCAGCTACCTTTGGCCAGTAAAACACGTTAAGATACCTTTTTTTACTGGATTCGTATTTCTAGACTCTGCCCTTACATGTATCACTAGATGGGTTAGATTTGGTAGGTGCAGGAAAGCCCAAAGAGCCCTGCTTTCAGTGACTTACCACATCACCTCTTTTTGTCAGGTAATTTCATGTCTGCACACTTCTGCACAGCCTTAGAGCAGAAGAGGTAGCAAGTTATTTGGAGAATATATGGCTGTAGCATAGAGAAAAAAGAGCTAGGCAAGACACAACCTTCATGCAAGACAAGAAGCCTCCTACAGCACGAGCCCAGAAATAGGACAGGCCACATAAAAAGCAAAAGCAAGCTAGTTCCATCCTTAAATCATGTCCATTTGAGATGACTGTCTCTGGATGACTATTCAGCGGTTGCTGCCACATCTGTTTCTCTTGCATGTGACTAGGCAAGTCTGAACAAAAGCCCTGAATAGAAGGCTTGCAGTCATTGAGAACATCATCTTTTTACTCAGAGCAGCTCAATTAGGCCATTATAACAAACAAGCATGAAAATTCCCTTTTAGAAGACCTTTTGCTCCACCATGTTCTGAGCAGTGGGCAGGTTGGAGAACTTAAATGCTTCCTTCCTCATTTGTATTCATTTAAATAACTTTAAAGTCCTGACTCCTCTCTCTTCGTACTTGTAGCTTCACTGAGCTTATAGCTGCAACTAGAAGTAGCACTAAAACTACATATGGCACATTGTCCCAGGTGGTGGCCCTCAGCATTCACAGGTTTAGCAATGCTTCTGTACTTGCTGTTGCTCACTTGCATTGCTTTGAGGAGCCAGATCTTTATGAAGTTATGTACTAATATCATTAGGCAATGTATGTTTTAAAGCAATGTGTTTTGCTCACTCATTCTTAATCTTTCATCATGCATTAGAGAAACTGAGGATTTTGTTGCTCTGGGGTCTTTGTTTTGGCAAGGGAATTGCTACAAGCACATCAGCTGAGGTAGTGGTTGCGGGGGACAAAATAAGAGACACGCTCATTGCTAGGGGTTGTGCAGATGGACAGAAGGTGTTTTAGAGTAGAAGTGGCAAAGGTAAGAGACATCAAACCTCAGGCTGCAAAGGAGACATGCCAGAAGAGAATGAAGACTTGCCTAGATGCAGCACTCTGAAATCCACCTTTTAACACTGTCAGATTTAGAAACTAATTTTTAGCAAGTGCATGGCAACGAAAGCCTAGAAGAAACTGCATCAATTTAAGTAGTTAAGTTTGAACTGCAGGACAGAGCCGCCTTGTTGGAGTAGGTGAAAGCATGGACAAATTCCACTTATTAACCAAAGTGATTGTTCGAGGGGAGCTGCAAACTGCTGTGGGAGGCACTCATTTTAATAAGTATCTGTACAGCACTCACAATGACAGGGCCCTGGCTCAGGGTGAGAAGAGGCAGCCCAGCTCCTGTGCAACTGGGAGAAAGGGCACATTTTGATTCAGTAAAGATCCTGGGTTGTATCAGCAGTCTACTGCAACTGAGCTGGGGAAGGGAAGGGGGAGAGGGATGTTAGTAAAGATTCATTCCTAAAGGAATTTGGAGGGTGGGGTGGGTGGAAGAGACAAGGCTGCTACCACCAGCCTGTGTTAGCATGAATTCAGTAGTTCTAGTTTCTTGTTCACCAATTTATTTCCTACCTAGTCCTGTAGG